CGAACACGTTTTTTTAAAACAACTATTTAGCTCTACAAAAATGTTATTTTCGAAAATATATCTTAAAACCGACAGGAGAACAACTCAAAGACGTGAAGGTACCGAGTTTTTTAATTTTCCGGAGTAATTCTTGGATTATTTTATTGGTTTGTCAATTTGACAACTTTATTATATTCTGCATGCCCTGGCAAACATTTGGTGAAAATTTGACAAAAATCGGACGCTTAATAAGCGCGTAGTAGCGATTCTCCGCGAAACGCCACAAAAGGTGTCCTGTAACCTTAAGGAAATATAATGAGGCTTTAACAATTTCTGAATTTCTGGATTTTCCATTTTGAAAGAAAATTTTTGGAATATATTTTGGTGACATGCATACACCCCAAATTAAATATTTTGAACGAGTACTGATTTGAATGATCTATTTTAACTGTAAAAAATTTAATTTAAGAATTACTTGAACATATTTGTTTTCTGAACAATAATGGCTAACTTGAGACCATTTTCTGCCACTAAGAAAATCAATGCAGCAGTGACAAGAAAAAATGTACCGGTCGTGTTTTGACGCTATCACGCAAATCCAATCTTACATCAAGATAGACATACCTGATTGTTTTGCAATGGTTGTGGTAATGGCCGCATTCTTGGATTTTGCATAACGGTATCTGCTGCAGGAACAGTGGTCGATAATTTCGGAGATTGGCGTCGTCTTTTGTAAATGATGAGAATTACAAATAAGATAACAAGCACGATGGCAAGAGGTACGGTTACAGCCACACTTGTAGAAATTATTTCAGTGCTGGCCTGTTTTCCTAAAACCGATTAAATTTTTGTTGTTATTAAAATTGAAAAATAAGCTCAACCATATTAAGTAATTTGCCCCTCACAATTTGCTAAGACGCTTTAAGCAACCACCGCACGACCCATCATTGATAACGAACATTTGATAACCCATAATGATTCATGTTTGATTAACGAACCATTGGCTACCTCGTCCCCAGGCGCTAATAAAAAAATTCACATACGAGTCACTATATATAAAAGGTTTACATGAAGTGGTGCATCGCGACGAACAAGCGCAGGGGTTTATGATCTTGTGGCAGCGAAAATTGAGGAGCGCCTAGCTGGGAGTTTTTAAAAGTTTCGTTTCTTGCAAAAGTTCGTCTGTTTCTTGCAAATCGTGGTTTTTCGATAGTTTGGGGGCTTTTTCTGCCATTTGTTTAGAGAAAATAACATTTCAAACTGTTCAATTAAACATGCGGATAACAGTCCGATGATATTTGATATCATTTGACCCTTTAAATGATTCAAGATGTCAACACCTCAAGAGGTCAACGAGGGTGTAGAAGGGTTTATATAATAACGTTTATATAAATGCGTCCTTATCACAATGAGGAATTTACTAAAAATATTTACAGCTGCAGGAAGTTTTTTAAACAAGGGAGCGGTGAAACTTTATTTTGTATTGCATTAATGCATTCGTAAGATTCTTCTCAAGATTTCAGTTACGAGCTTATTTTCAAGCAGTATGTTGGATTTTTACGATTCAAACAATCGACAATATTTTGAATAATTTAGGTAAGGATAGCTTGATTTCTTTCTGGTGATATACATGAAGGCATTTAAATTTAGATCTACTGTTTACTTGTTTAGTGTTCGCAGGGTCGTCGCTACACCTATTTGAATGGGAGGAGGGGGTTTAAGAGTGAATTTTGCCGAGTGACTACAACCGCTAATTAATATTTCTTTTCCGAGAATACAAAAAAATTTCCGACAAAACGTTATTTTTCCCCAAATACGAGAATTCTTCTTGACATATCGTCATTTGTTAACGTTTTCCGTAATTTTTCGCACATTTTGTAACATTTTTGCTATAACTATTACTTTTTATTCCGAGCCACGATAACAATTTGCCGGTAAATCCGAAAACAATTTGCCGAGTCTAGCAGACATTTGCCGAGTCTATAGCAGACATTTGCCGAAACAGTGATGAATGGGGGGTGTTATACCCCCGACACCCCCTCTAGCGACGCCCCTGAGTGTTCGACAGCTATTACAAGATCGGCCAGGCGCTAACCAGAACGCTCATATCCCATCGCCCTTTTCGCGCCTATAATGATGCACTACTTGATGTGAACCTTTTATATAGCGACTCGTTTGCGAAATCGTTTTATATAGCGCCTGGGCACGAGGCAGAACCATTGTTACTGTACATACGCTGGGAAGGACAAGCCCATAAGTTAGAGCAGGGTAGTCTCTCATCTAAGTCACCTAGTAACAATACCCTACCCTCCAGTTCTATCTCTAACCGAATCTGACATCCATGCTTCCCATATGTTAATAATTTGCGAACGAGATGAGGTTCCCATGGGTACGGTTTCTAATTATGTTCCATAATAGTGTGTCCTCTTATTACTTTAGTACATGTAGTTCCAGCACTATATACAACTTAAACTATTTACCTTCCAGAGGTGTTGTACAATCTATAACATATAATATATAATATCAATATATCGTAATTGGGAGAATGGGAGCAACAAGAGCATGACATAATCAAAGTAAATTACGCTAGTCTAATTAAATTCCACGGATGGCTTTAAGCTGCTTTAGCGGTCTGAACTGTCTTCACATGAACCTCTTAAAATAATAACTTAATGGGACAGTTTTGCTACAAGATGGAACCTAGCGTAACTAAATTAACTGAAACGGTCTATTAGTACTAAACTATGCTATTTCTAGATATGCCTATAAAGGACATTCATTACATTTTGCTCAGTTTTACTATACATAAAAACCATGGAAAACCTGCAGAATTTGGAAGTCAAACTAAAAGCACGTCATGCACTCGCATGCGGCTCATGCAATATTATATTCAGATAAGTGCATATTCCAAAATGGAACTTAGGGGCTGTTTTACATGCATGTTCCTGGTTTGCCGGGCCGGAGTGGAACGCGGGAATGATTTCGATGTTTTGAAATAAGTCACGAATTGGCTTTTAAGGAAAGTTTAAATGTTGTTAAAAGAAATCAAATGTTGTCGAGACGATCTCGTAGTTCAAGATGATGATTATTGCTGCTTGAGCAACCTTTCGTTCACATGCAATATTGTACTGATTTATAATCTATTACTAGAAAAAAAGTAGTTTGCTGAATCATGCACCTTGACTTATTTCAACACATCAAATTATGCCGCCTCATAGATCCGGAAATGGTAAAAACGTGCATTAGTAATATCGCCCATGTAATTATTTCGCAAGCTACTTGCCTTCGCATCCAGGTTTTGATGTTGTACTAGCTTGTGGAGGGACAGTACTTCGTCTTGATGTATTGTAGTAGATTTGTGTCGGACTCGTAGGTGGTATTAAAGCACAAGAATTAGTAGTGTTGCCCGTACAGTTCATAAGCATTTCACTCCTACTCCCAGGAACTAACCATGTAAAAAAATAATAGATAAATAAAAATTATTTTGTTGCATTTTTGCTGCCGCAGGAAAAAAACTGGACTATATCATGATCTGAACATTATGTTATTTACTGCTGAGGAGATATGAGGAATCTAATGGAACTAAATTAAATGTTGAAGTGTTTTTTTAAAGATGGGGATTTCGAGTGTAGTTCTATAGATCTTATACACTCTAACCAGAAACAGTTGCGAAAAATGCAATTAATTGCTCTTTGTCAGGAATTAAATCTGCGGTTCTGCGATCATATTTCAAAGTGTTACGCAAAGAACCCACCGTCTTCGTTTGCATGATGTATCCATCATACTGTCATTTTTGAGTCTATGATTTTTGAATCATCATACAAACGCATCAATAATCTGACACTCACCCCACCCCAACACAAATATATAAATTTTGTCGGTAATTTTCGCCAGGTGCATTTTTTGTAGGACTTTGGCGCTGCAGCCGTCGGAGGAAGCTTTGCTCTCAATTCCCGCCACGAACTCGTCTCAAAACAGTGTATATCAACGCTCTACCAAAAGTCATGGGAGTTTATCCTGGCGCTCCGGTTTCCTCGCATAGGGTAAGTTGACAGGGTGGGTTGGGACCAATGAAGTAAGGAAAGCAAAATTGCAATTGCTTTAAAGATATATAGGAGTCTGTAGCTATAGATTAATTAAGTAGTATAGGTAGTGTACATATAAGTAAGCGTAATTCTTAATGCAATCGTAAATGAAAATCCCGATGAGAGTGCAGAACGCGTTTTTAGTATAGCTATAACTGACGCATAATTTAATGATAAAGAAAACCCTCCATTTGATAAGTAAAATCCACACTAAAATACGAAAATACCTAAATTAAATTTGACTTCAGTGATTAGTAACCACCTTCCACCAAAATACAATTGGACCTTTATAAACCTTGCTGTATTGTCACAAAGTGACAAAGTTACATTTGCAATGTATGGATCATCGTTGTATGAAAATTTTTTTGGACAGTATTGAAGAAACGACATGGCAGAGAAACCGTCTTTGGTCGAAGCAAAAAGTATTCGCGATCTGTCAAATACGGCATTGCCATTTTTCTTGTCAACGTTTACTGTGAGTATAATATCTTTAAATTTTCTCATTTCAGAAAACTCAAATGTGATGGCGATGTATGATGATTGAGTGAGCGTGGAAGACCAGCCCACCCATCCTTTGCCTGAGAGTTCTTTTGCGTCAGTAGGACCAAACTTGCCATCTGTAAGTATTCCAGTTCCATCCTTGCGGTAAAAGTCGTTGGTTATTACTCCATTATAAGACGTGTCTTTGTAGTGTACTTTGCCATCAGCACTCTGCCCAACTGGCATCGAATATGAAAGAACAACTGGAAAAAATAAACACACCGGCTAAGGTCCGGTCCAACGAGCATGTTATGAGTAAATTTATTGGTCAATATCGATCCATGCAAGTGGCTATATCGAGTGCCGAACGGGACTCGAAGACCATTGCTAGGAACTCAATTTCAATATAAAAACATTGTAAACTATACTAAAGTGTACTTCTTCAACCATATAACTGTAAATAAACACATGTCAATAGACATTTCTTACAATGACGTCAAATGCGCAAAACCAATTTATACAATGTCCCACGGGGAAATGTTAGTACACGATATGCTTGGTGAGAAACATGAACGCGAAATTAGGTTAATCAGCAAACTTGTATCAGATATTCAAGCTTCTACAGGATAATATAGAGTCCGTTGTTTTTATTCTATAAATTATTAATAAGAATTACAATTATACAAACCTGTTTGTATTGCACAACCATATACCTCAAGCCTCATACATTGGTGAAACCCATTCCGTATATAACATGGATGCACCCTGATATACCTCGCGGTAGCTTGTAATGACTTTTTAACAACCTGGCTGGCGCTACTACCGGTGCCATCAAATACCTGAAAATAATTGATATTAGTATAATTACATAGGTGATTATTGAAAATTCTCCACGCTGATTGGTTGCCGTTGAGGTGATTATTACGCGATAATCACCTAAGCGATTTTCAAAATGGCGGCCGAAGCCTTTTTGTCAATTAAATGACGAAGAATTGAAGAAATGTGCATTTTAAAATTTTTTTCCAAATAATCACCTATGAAATTATACTAAAACAATTATTCACCTCAGGCTCGGTGTTTATCGTGAATAAAAACCTCGACTTCGTCTCGGTTTTTATTCACCGATAATCACCTCGCCTTCGGCGAATAATTGTTAAATAATGAAACTTTAAAAAGCATACTGACTTATAGTTGAAATTTCATTCTTTAGAGGTGTTTTATACAGTTATATACAATCCATTGTCTTTGAATATAAAAGAATACTAAAATGAAATATTCCAATTGTAAATATACCGTAGGTGTGTAATCATCTAAATGCAGTAAAAAATCAGCGAGAGACGAGCCTCCTGCTTTCTGTTTAACATCGCTTTCTTTTCCAGCTGAAGTAGTTGCTTTAGTGTTGCTAGCTGTAACTTTTGCTGCCGTATTTGTTTGTATTTGACCGACTTTTGATGTCGACGCGCTTGAATTGTCGGCCATCTTGCATTGTGGTGGAGAAAAACTTTATGTAAGATGAATATTGTGGTCGTGTAGGAGCGTAGAGGAAAGAGCCTGGGAACGAGGTTGCTTTTGCCCTACTT